GGAGTTTTACTTACAAAAAAGTAGAATTCAAGGAAATTATGTTCTAATTTTCGTAGAACTTACTACGGTTGGTGACATAACCGATATAAGTGGATTGTTTAGAATGGATCAATTGTCGTTCTTTTATTTTTGGAATTTATTTTTTTTATCTATCAACTAGCGGTGGCCCACGAATCCGTCCACGCGGTATTGGAAAAGAAAAAATTAGTAGCCTACATGTTGCTCCAGGCTGATCTATATGTATGCCAAATTTAATCGAGATCCATTAATCCATTTTGGAGATACTTTCAAACAAACATCCATGTAAACTTTAGCATTTGTAATATTAGTAAGATTAGAAAGAAGTAAAATTAACCAAAAACAGTTTGTTCTAATAAATAAAGTATTTCACTATATAAAAATCAGATTTCATGTCGATCTGTAAAAAGTAATTCGAATGAAACGAGAGCGGGCAATAAAGATGAAAAATAATTCAAAGAAAAATATCTCACCGTTAAGGGTGATGTGCGGGGATGAAGTGAGAGGAGGGGTGGTTGAATGTGACGAATGAGGGCCATTTGTTGCGCTAACGTAAAGTGGCAGCTGATTGCGGCCGTGTTTGGAGCCTTTTGTCCGGCACCCTAATGTCAGCCTGACGGTCTAAGCAAGCCTTCATCTGTTATACTATTCATCATGTTTACTTCTATTATTTTTATTGCCCCAATGTAAACAGGTGTATCCCACAATTTTAATATTTGCAAAATGCAAAATGATATGACGGCAGTTAGATATGTATGGAGGAGTAGTACATACTGTGCCGACCCTCAGTAGGTATGAGGGCAGGTTGATGATGCAGAATGTCAAACGTTTGTCGTATAACGTTTTTATTTTTAATAAATTAATTTGAAAGATAATTCTTCATCATACAAAGGATCTCGGAGCCTACCCTAAGTTAGGCGTGACTAGGCCACAGTCAACCACGCTGGCCCAGTGCGGGTCGACTTCACACATATCTTTGAATTTCTTCGCAGATATGTGCATCACGATGTTTCCCTTCACCGTAAGAAAATCGGATAATCGTACATTTGTAATTCGAAAAATACATTGGAATATGGCGAGATTCGAACCCAAGACCTAGATAAGATAGACCAAGTAGATTATAAGTGCTTTACCACTAAGCCACCGACGCTCTTAAGGATAATATAGAAATGGGAATTTTAGATTTAAGTTGTATATCGTATCTTTAGCATACGACTTGTAACTTAAAATTAGCATTACTGCCTCACTATATGTTTATTTAAGTCAAAACCATCGAAATATAATATCAATTCTTAAGACGTTCTTCTCGTGAATTACATTCACAATAAATACAAGACCGCTTCGTCCTACTACAGCTTAAATACAAAAGGAATACGATAGATCATAAGGAAAACTCCGCGTACGATTTATACCTCAGCCGAATATCAAAAGAGGGAGGTGGATGATGGATGATTGGTCATTTGTTGCGTGCGCTATGTTACAGGACTTTGGTTACGTTTACCCGCTTTCCTGTTGAAGCTTCAACTCTCCTTTAGATTTTTGTCTTTTACTAATTGATTTCTTTTAGTACTTTAAGACTGTATTAGTTAGAATCATTTGGCGTGAATGACGTGCTTTCATTACAAAGTTCGATGTCAGAATGAATAGTGAGGGGACAGAAACGTCGACAGCCTAGTAAGGCTAGTGTTGCGTCGATACACCGGCACATTTTCGGATCTTTTTTCTAACAGTACTTACTTTATTGGCTGTTTTAGTAACAATATTTATTGAAATTATGTTCAAAAAGCAAATAAGCTTTCTGTCCACAGTATCTAAAGTTTAAATATTGTTTAGTTATTTGTTAGAATTATGCTAGTCAAAAGCTTTGGTAATAACGAACGCCATTGATTCTGGCTTCATAAATAACTTATCTTGTACTTTTAAAGGTTTTTAGTAATAAAAGACACAACAATTTTAAAATAATTTTGAAGAGTACGCCTCAGAGAGGTTGGTCTGGTTGTTTTGTATATTAATAAGAATATAAACAAAAAATATATTTCATTAAAGTCTGGTCACGTAGCATTGAAACTTGGCTGTAAGGCGCAGCTGAAAATTTTTAACAGGGTGTAAAAAAAACTTGGTAACTGGGTCGCGTACGTGAAAAGATATTTTAAAGCCAGTAGTACCACGAAAGCGAACCGTAACCAAAGTGAACTGTTTGCACATCGTAACTCGTAAATAAAGCGAAATTGGTATTTGATTTCTGATAAATTCCATTTTGTTTGACCTTGAATGTTGAACGGCTTGAAGGATTTGCACAAATAGATACATATAAAGCTTCGCTTCGGTATTCCATCGCTTTTCCAGCTGTGTGCTACTGTGCGTTAACGCGACCGCGAGTGGCGCATCGTAGCAATTACCGCATCGTGTGTTGAGGGCCTTATTAACTTGGTTTTGTTGCTGGCCAACATCAAAATTACCTCGTTATCACTGTAGAGGTTTTAATGCCTTCTAGAGCTTGTAATAGCGGATTTTTTGCATGCATTTACAGGTCTTGTCAACCAGAATTATAGAACCACGTATTTAGAATCGCACAAGGTTCTAAGAATTGACAAAACTGTTCAATTTTCCTTTTAGCTTGTATACAAAGTCTTCTTTAAAACCACACTTACCGAATCTGTGGCCATGTTTTAGTCCACTGACGTGAATAACGGTAGTCGAAAATGAAAAATATATACAATTTTAAACCTTAACTCATACAAATAAGGTGTATATTTCCAAAACTACAGTTACTTCAGTATTCTCTGTGATCGTAGGGAAGCAAAAAGTCGTACGCAGTTTGAACATAAGAGCTTGCACTTTGGTATAAACTTTGAATAAAGAGAAACGGACTAGGTAAAAAGCCTAGAAGTTCCTTTTTTGTTTTTATTTGACAGAGGGCGCTGCGCGCTTGCCAGGTCCCGTCTCTTAAAAGTCAAAGGATGTAGAAATCCTAGAGGCGGATTTTGCCGTATGTTCTATAGTAAATAAACAGCTGGAGGGCAGTCGATCGCTGTTTAAAATCTAGACTTTAGAATCTAGAATATGGCCACTATACTATGTATTTGGTATTATAAAAATTGTACATACTTTACCATGTTAGCGAAGTCATTAGTTCCATTAATACGGGGATACCAAAAGGAGCCAAGGTCATAAACAGATGTGTAAAATGTACAATAAAGGACAGACTTCATAAGTGTAGACTTAGTCATCATCAGCGTCCCCACCGAGGGGCTCGGAGCCTACCCTAAGTTCAGGGTGATTAGGCCATAGTCAACCACGCTGGCAAAGTGCGGGTTGGTTGACTTCACACATATCTTTAAATTTCTTCTCAGATATGTGCAGGTTGCATCACGATGTTTTCCTTCACCATAAGAACGTCGGATAAATGTACATATGTAAATCGGAGAACGAAAAACACATTGGTACATGGCGGGATTCGAACCCAGGACCTGCAGATTGCAAGTCAAGTACTTGACCCCTGAACCACCGACGATCTTAGACTTAGTATGACAAACAATGCTAAGGGTTACTCTTAGTAACCAATTAACGACTGTAATAGTAGCCTGGATAGATAGGACACACATTTCTAAACGTATTTATAACACAAGGTTACAAATTGCAGTTGAGTCAGAGAGTGAGTGTGGGCTAGATGTAGCAATATCCTAGAATTTATCGTGTCTAGATCTTAATATGACTGCAACTGAGAAACTGTGGTCACGAGCTTACTATGTCATTTGTGATTCACGATAAGAGAAGTGGCTACGGTGACTACAGCCAAACTTATCGTGTTAGGTAAGAAGCTAGAATAATTGTGAACAGTACTTTAAAAGAAAACTAGAAAGCAATAGTTAGGTAAGTATGCTAGATGTACACTTCAAATGACATTGGATTTTCTGAGAGGTTCTTCTCCTACATCTATGAGTTGTTCTGGAGATACCATCAAACATCCATCCGTCCATCTAAACATTCGCATTTATAATATGAGTATGATAACGCCCAGGGTCAGTGTAGCCCAAGTAGTATCAGAGAATATTCAAACAAAACAAAGAAATAAACAATCCAATATTTCCTCTTTATACTCTTACTTCTTACTAATATTATAAATGCGAATGTTTGTATGGATGGATGTTTGAAAATATCTCCAGAATAACTGAACGGATTTAGCTGAAATTTGGCATACATATAGAATATAGTGTGGAAGAACACATAGACTACTAATATTTTTTTTTCGTTTCGCGCGGACGGAGTAGCGTGCGACAGCTAATATAAATATAGATAAAGGTACACACATTTTCTAGTTTATTTAGGAACTCATATCTTATCCGGGAATCAAAATAAAACAGGGAGAGTGAATGAATCAGATTGTACTGGTATGTTGGTCATTACCACCGTCATCAGTGTCAGTCTATTGTGCTGACTTCCTGAGTGACGTCACGCGGCAGCGATTTTCATTACGTTTTCATTAAATTATAGGCTGAATAATTTATATCGCCTTCGCTTGTAACCACCCGTTGGATACGCTCACTGACCAGAACAGGGCCACGTGTAGAGCTGAACTAATTTATAATTTTAATGCATATTTTATGTATTTTTTAGTAATTATTAATACGGCATCGAATTATTGATCTAGATTATTTATTAAATCAGTATCAATTAAGCAACGATTAAATTAGCCGATTAGCTTCAGGTTAATCTTGGGTCTTGAATTGGTATCCACAGCGGATTATATACTTGAGATAAGCCCTTGCTTATTATAGTTTAAAACAGAATCATCAATTATAAAGTCAATCTTGCTATTTTAAGTCATTATTTTATGCAAAACAAAAATGACATAAAACCAACAGTGACTGACTTCAACTTAAAAAAGTTATGCAATATTTTAATCTAACCTCTCAATGCATCTCTATGTTCTCTAGTCGATTTGCCGCGAGTACTGGGCTCACAGCATTAGAGGACGCGGTGCGATGAAGTGTACTCTACTGTCTACTGCCGCTGTGTTTATATATTGTTTATATGAATATTTGTTTTTAAATAATACTTAGTGCTTTTGGAATGTGACTGGACGAAAACATGTATTTCTTAGGTTAGTTTTTTCTTTTATTTGATGTTTTAATTTTAATTTTTAAATACGATTCGAATTTTAAAAATGCAATCGTTTTTTTTAGCTTTTAATTTTTTTACAATCAATATGTTTAGCACAATTTTTTTTTACACATGGCATTATTTCTTTTCAGCCAGTGTTTTCATTTACAAGATTTATTTTTAAATTGATGAAGCACTTTAAAGATGTTTTTTACGAATAATATGCAAAATATTATTTTGTTCCCTTTTTTAACTTCAATAAAACACACGAAACAAATTATCCAAGGGTAGTAACCGGACAAGGGTTGCTTTTCAATGACTGTAATAACATTAAGGGGGTTTGTTTATGTCTTAAAGCTTAGTTTAGGATTAGTCGGCCCTGCATTGTCTTCGAGTTAATTCCACTAGTACGGGGGATTTCGTACGACAATTGTTTTCTTTGTTTACGGATTAAAGGACCTCGATTAAAATGTTACGATACTACTGTTCTATCTATATTACAGTTTAAAAAATATTTTTTTACTGATTTTATAAATATATATTTTCTGTTTACGCCCCAAATGCGCAATGATAATAATGTAAGAATTACGATGGACATGGATTCGAATTCGATACAACGATAGTAAAGCATGGTCGGATAAAAGTTTAAAAATTAATTGTCTAATTACATAATATCTTACTAATATTATAAATGCGAATGTTTGGATAAATGGATATTTGTTTAAAGGCATCTGCATGGCAAGGTTGTAGAACATAGTCTGGAAGAACATATAGGCTACAATTTTTTTTAATTCCGTGCGGACGGAGTCGCTGGCGACAGCTTGTTTAGTCATAAAAAACTTAGTGTTTGACATTTCGATTTCTATATTTCCTAGATTGTTAAAGAGGCGTTTTTTTCTTTTTTAATTTAACTTGCTTAATAACGCAATTGAAAGCTATGTATTGGAGCTTATCGTTCAACTAATGACCTAATTCCATATTAATTACTTAAAATAGAACGAATACTTAGAAGCTTTGACGTAGTTTCTGACGTCATTGATTACAACGGTGGCTTTATTAAATATTACCAACATTAGGTTCGCGTGTCTGAATATTGATCACACGTGGCCCGGTTTGTTTGTCACTACGGTCGCTTAGTGTTTATGTTAGCTCTCATTATAATTATCTAGGTCATCTAGTAACTTGTCCCTTGAGGCTGTTAGGGTCGAAGTAAATATTAACAGCACATTACATCTTATGGGAGAGTTTAAAAAAAAATTTAGAATTGCAGTCGCAAAATATTTGCTAAATAAAATTTGCTATTTATTTTTTCCAGGCGCAGTGTCTGCAAGTATGCTGTTCTCAAGTCTGCTTCTTGTGACGATATCATTTACTACTAGCGCTGTAGGAAACAAATGTAAGACATGCGTCAAAGTAAATTCAGCTTGTTACAACGTAACACATCTGTTTGAACTAGAAGCGCCTTTCAGAAACACCGTGGTGATACATAAAATGGGAATACTCAGGTCAAGAAATGTGTTGTACTTCAGTTTTGAACCGGCACTTGAAGATTTAGAATACAACAAAATAGGTTTTGTTAGTTTAGACAATCCCGAAGAAAGGGGTATAATTTCTGGCAATAAAATTATGAACTTCGGCACATTTGATGTGGATCAGATTAACGAAATCATTTACTTAGGTGGTAGCGATGGCATTTTCGTTTTAGAAACGAAAGAAAATATCTTGGCATTCTTCAGTTCTAGAGGCGATTCAATACAGAATATATTTTACAAAGGTAATGTGTATTTCGTTATAACTGGCCAGAGTAAAATAACAAGAAAGAAAGGAGATAACTTCGAAGCGTATTTAGAAAGTGAACGAATTAAAAACTTCGTCATAACTAAGAACGATGTTATTGTTTATTTAAGTATACTTGGTTTGTTTGTTACTAAAAGGAATGAAACTGTACATTTATCTAATAATCCATTTTTTAGAGGGTTAACTATTGATTTAGATGACGTTGTTTATACTTGGTGGGTTGATGGAATCTATAGAGTGAATATAGCAAAGAATTTAACTGAATCTTACATAAACAGAGTAGTATACCTAACTACAATAGGTTCTTTAGTCTTTGATAACGATAACAACGTTTTATTTACGTCGGATAAAGGTTTATATGCACTTACAGAAACTAATTTAACGACAATTTGTTAAATAATAAATAACGCAGTCGAAGTCGAATAAAACATAAGTTATGTAAGAATATTTTTGTCACTTTAATATATAAATGTTGTACACAATTGTTTATTAAAAATATTTCAGTTTGTTAAAATAATTCATGAATGTTATGCTTAGGAATTTAGTACTATTAGAAAAAAATACATAAAATTGTAAACATTCTTAGGATGTTACGTCTTAGTGTTCTAATTATGTGACCTAAAACAGATTATTTGTGTTTTTTTTGTATTATATTTTAATCAATAGAAAATATACATTTTGAGTACAAATGTAATTATTGTTATTAGTGTTAATAAGTTTGGCGTTTAACTTAACTGATTTTTTTAAAATAAATCTAACGATAAGTGATGTTTTATTAAGACGCAAAATTATATTTTTTTAAATATCTGAACATAATTTTGTTCTTTAAATATATTCTATAATTGTATTTCATTGAACACATTTCGCATTATTAATGTAGTAAATATATACGAATGTTTTTGTCGCTCAAAATAACTTTTAGTCAGTTAAAAATGTTTCGACTGATCTGTTATTCCTTGAGATTAGTGGCAGCGAAGACCTTGCTCTAAACATCGCACAATTGCTGTAATTGTCGGCCTCCTTTAAGCTAATCTTCTATATTTAGTCTATTAATTAACAGTTTTATTTTGTCAGACTTTTACGCGTGTGCTTAACCTATTTTTACAGCCTAAAAGAATTCCATTGCAGTGACATTTGTATTGATGTTGTTGTCTCTGTTATATCAAAGAGAATGAAAGAGATGGCAATATGTATAATACAAGAGCCAAGGAAGTTCTACGGTATGGATAAAATAAAGATTAAATTATATTGCTAGCTGAAGGTGGAACTTAAAGAATGATGGTGTGGTGATGCCACTATAAGAGACCGCACGCTTATTTCGAGACATACCAGACACTGAAGCCAGCGGAAGCTCTGCTCGTTTGACTAGCTAAATAATAAATAATTTTAACTTTGATAGTTGATCAAGTTAACGTTGTATTCCAAAATCATTTAAATGTTAAATTAATCAGTTCTATTAGTTATGTTATTAAATCAGAAATGTACAGTAGTAGTGTATTTTGATTTAAAAGATAAAACCATAAATTTAGATTTCATTAATATGGAAATTTCTTGCTTAGTCTATGGAACTTTAGTTTTACTTTTTACAAAGATTAAGAAGCTTAAAATAAGTATTTATTAACTTTTACAGCCAGCATTGATTATGAATTGAACACATCTTTCGCTTTCCGAGCGTCGGTGGCTCAGTCAAGCACTTGACTTGCAATCTGCAGGTTCTGTGTTCCAATCCCGCCATGCAATGTGTTTTAAGATTTCCGATTTACATATGTACATTTATCCGACGTTCTTACGGTGAAGGAAAACATCGTGATGCAACCTGCACATATCTGAGAAGAAATTCAAAGATATGTGTGAAAACCAACCCGCACTTGGCCAGCGTGGTTGACTATGGCCTAATCACCCTTAACTTAGGGTAGGCTCCGAGTCCCTCGGTGGGGACGTATAGTGAGCTGAGCTGAGCTCGATTTTGAAAAATAGCTTCCTTGTTGATTGAATATTAGGTATAGTACAGTGTTTATACGTTAGTTTATTTTGTTTTAGGTTAACAAAAATATTTATTTTAATAAAAACATTTTCATTTTTGTTGCGTAAGTTTTTTCCCACGAATATACAAAACAAGAAAAAAATAAAGTAGGGTTGTGTTTTTGCATAGATATTGCTGGCTCATTTGAATTTCCACGATCGAAGCTTAGTCTAGGTCGAGCCTAGTAGCTTATCTATTTTGTATTTATTTGAATATTTTATATAGAAAATTGTTTACAAGCCGCCTAATATAGGAAATGTAGACATGAAAATGACAGTTTAGGTTTCTATTTAGAAAGCATGTTTTAGAACTGCGATTTGATTAGATGAATAAATTATTATTTTTCAACGTTTTTTTTTATTTAAATTCTTAGAGACCTTATGAATAAGGATATCTTTAATCGTATCTCTAACTTCCCTTTTGTTGTTTCATGTATAAAAAATTAATATGTAAAATATTGGAAATTAAACGTAGCTTTGTTAGTTTTTGATATGTTATTACTTTAATAAATGGATATAATATTATAGTAAATAACATTGTAATAAATAGTATATAACATACAATTGTCATATTTATATGTACTTTTAGATGTTCGATATAGATTCATTGGTGAGTTTTCGACGACGTATTTTTTTTATCATTAGGTGGCAAACGAGCGAGCGGCCATCTGAAATCGCTGAAATAGCGAAGTGACCGTTGCCCATAGACATACGCAATTGCATATGCATTGCCTACCTTTAATCGACGGAGGAGAGGATGCACAGAGAGAAAATATTTTCCGTATCCATGCATCCTCTCATCCGGAAAGTCCACTTCCACTTCCCATCCTTTCGAATGACGCACATTCATTAGACGAAACGCGGAATTGTTTCCTCTTCATGCCTGTCTTCTGTGTGGACGTGGTATTTCACCGCGAGCCGGGACAATTCGTGCGAAGATGTTAAAGCTCTACCACTGTTAAAAAATTGTACAAATATTGTGCCTCTGAAAATAATATTATAATTCCAGTGTCCAGCTTTAAAATATTTTCCATACTCGCGCTCGCGTAAATTGGAACTCGTTAACTGAATTTCAGATCGTCGATTTTACACTCACTATCCGTTTGCTGAAGCTGTGTCACTGTAAATTTCATACCGACTCTTTCCGACTACGTTTTATCTGGTAATTGCAACACAATATATTTTATTTTTTAAACCATTATTAAAATAAAACTAGTTGTCGCCCGCGACTTCGTCCGTGTGATATTCAAATAAAATTTATTCAATAGCCTATGTGTCCTATGTTCTACATCTATGCCTTATTTCAGCGAGATCCTTAAAGACGTTGTGGAGATAACTTCAAACAAACATCCATCCATCCAAACATTGAACAATCGATCCAACAGATGAAGAATCGACGGAATTACTACAATTTGAATATGTTTTTAAAGACAAAATAAGGTCTGTAATAAAAAATTATGTCACAGTGTAAAAATAAAATTCGAACTTTCTTTTGCGTCTTTAGAATTATATCCATGTTTCATCAAACCTATTCGTTGGTTTAGGATGGCATAGTAAAAAAATATAAAAAGAGATGTTCTTTTAGTTACTCTTACGTTACTCTATCCAAAATGTATAAGTTACAAAATGGATATGTCTATAAAAAATTGACTGACAGGTTAACGTCGAACGAAAAACGTTTTCCCTTCGTTAGAACGAAACGTAAAAGCGGTCACTGAAATCCGCAGTAAAGGCAATGGACGAAGAGAAATGAAAAGAAATAGTGGATAAATTTACTAAGATAAATGTCTTTACGGGGGCCGGACTAATTTATAGGTCGAGTGTGATGGGCGTTAGGCGCTCGGATTGTGCAGTCATCGGAAAGATAGGAACTGAAATCCGATTCCTGTTTTAATTTACAACTGAATAATAAATTTAACTTTAACAAACATTAAAAGATACTTTTGTTTACTTAAATAGTTTAATTATTCCATAAAGCACAATGTAAAAAATATTAATTTTTGCAATTTTATGTCTTTGTATAATTTAGTGAGATTAGAAGAGCAAAAAATTAAAAAAAAAAAATGGGACCCACTTCCAAGCTAAACCACAATCCAAGAAAAAAAAACAATTCAAAATCGGACCACCAGGGGTGGTAACACACAAAAAAACCGACGAATTGATAACCTCCTTCTTTTTGATGTCGTCTAAAAACTACATTCTTGCTTTGTATAGTGTGTTTCAACATGTTTAGTACGTAAATAAGAATCAAAATCAATTTCTCCTTAAATGTATATTTATGAAATAAAATCATAGAACTTAGTAGTAAATGTCGGATAGAATTGGTAAATTAAATCTTGTCTTTCTACTATAGTCTCAAAAAACCGTTTAATCTCTGTTCTTTTTGTTTAATATAATTGTGAAATGGTTAATAACGTCTGTATTTGTTAATTTGCTGATATTATAAATTAATAAGCGATCAGTAAGTACACTTAAACCCTGTGGGTTTTTAGTACTACTGTCTAACCGATGTTTAATTTATTATGTGAAGTTTTTGTACAATAAATTAAAAAAAAATGATGTATTTTATTGACTGCATAGATTTAAAGTTTAATGTAAGAGCTTAGAATCGTAAAACTTTGTGTAGATTTACTTGGTAGAGTTGGTCTACGAGTAGAGTACATAGTACGAGTTTTCTTTGCCGCGCTATAAATCAGTTCACCTCCGCACAAATGTAGACATTAATCTTTTGTAAACGGACACTCGCGAGCTCTTTAAATAATGTTACTTCATTTCTCTGAATTTACTTTTATTTTTAAAACCGTGTTTGTTTGAATTAAACTTAACAGTTTACTTAGTACAAATTGTTTTGGATTTAAATATAACTTGCTTAGTAAAAAAACTTAATTAGTAGTCTATGTGTTCTTCCAGACAATGTTTTACATCTATGCCCAATTTCAGCGAAATTCAGGCTTCAAACATCCATCCATTCATCTAAACATTCACATTTATAATATTAGTAAGATTAACAGTTAAAACAATTTTAGAAGTTCGGTTTTATTTTCTCAAGTTTGTTTTGTATTACAATAGATGGCGCTATTCATAAAATTGTTTATAGTTTTTTGTTATACACTTATTATTATAAAATTATTATTTTCTACAATAAATGTCATATTCTGGGAACAAAAATATGACCTTTTCTCTTTAAGATCTAAAATAAAAGCGTACATAAAGTGTGAGCTTCTTATCAATTTGCAAGAAATTTAGATTCAGCCCGCTCCGTGAAAGTCAAGCGGGCTCGCCGACTGCATTTGAATAATTTACAAGCGAAGTAAACGTTGCTCAATAAAATGCTAAGCGACGTATCGAAAGGTAGCCGAGGTGAGAAGTTATTGCCAT